TACGTTTAAACAAGATATACGAAAAATAACGACGGATTATGCGGCGAACAGGAATTCAGATGTCAAAGTATCTTTTTACAAATAATATATTTTTTATTGAAATAATCTGATTAACATTGAAAACTAAGCAATCTAAAGTTCAAATCTGGAGCGACTCCACCTAAACACACTGTGACGTCATAGTGAAAGAGATCTAATGTAATCACAATCACCATTATCACCATTTCTCTCACCTCAACAGCTCGTTCACTAAGTTGATAGCGAGCCTGATTYAGGGACTGGTCGAGTGCTACTATCTTCTGTTGCTGCTCGTTTCGATTTTCTTTCATTGTTATATCAAGCTGCGAAACCTGGAATATAAATATAGGATCAGTCAAAATTAGACTCGGCAAGTAGCCTAAATCTCTCGGGATAYCTGTGTCGCGGATAAACGGAGATGGAGCGGTCTGAGTGGGAAGGAAGAGAGAAGAAAAGCTCAAACGTTACGTTGAGGAGGATTAATTATGATAAACCGAACTGTAAGGATCCCAAAGGGTTATCTAGTTTTAACTTCTTCATTCTGTGGATCAAGTTTGAAACAAWTTTACGGGTCTCTTGTGAACGGAGGGGTCAAATTGTCACCATTTTTTAAGTGCCATTACATGCAGAAGAATGATGATGAAGAAGAAGAAGTATTTCTTGCAATTCCTTGAAGAACGTTTTAGGGAATGTAGTGCGGCCACTAGGGAAAACATAATGATGATGATACCCTAACCCTTATGTGCAAAATGTAGTTCACCCAAACCCCTATACCTGGCTGTCCCTAGTTTTGACCTCTTTCTGTGTCTCTTTTAAGGCCTGATCCAATTCAGCTATTTGAGTGTCTTTGCTTATGATGTCTTTTTGTTTCTTTTGGAGTTCCTCAATGCTTTCGTTYAGCATCTTGTCTAGTTCGTTGACTTTCTTCTCTTTTTCTTCCACTTGGTATTTACTGGTCTGTAGAACRTCCTCTAACGATTTGAGCTGAGAAATGGTGTCATGGAGTTCASTTTCGATTTTCTTGACCTAAAGACGAATGAATGAATCACTGGGTAAATAAGCTGCCTTCTTTTAATTTCTTTTCACTTGATTGTAAAAATCATTGAGACTCAGTGATATGCGTTTTTTTAAGAAATAATAATTATTAAGGAGAAATAATAATAATAATWATTATTATTATTAAGYCACGAATACCTTAAGTTTCCACCATTCATATAACAAAACGTCCAATGAAGAACATTTCAGAATTAAATGGGTAAACGAATGAGTCCTTGCTACTGTGTGAGTAAGATTTACAGAGTCTAAGCTTATGCTACTAAAGGACAACTTCCGAACAACATTTCACTTGAAACTCTGTAACAATAAGATCATTAATATAAAGATGATACCTCCTTGTCCAGCTGAGTATTCTGCTCGTCTTTCTGCTTCAAATCGCTTTCAAGATGTCGTATATGTTCCTCTAGTTCGCCRTTGYGTTTCGTCTGTTGMGAKAGCTGCGTCCTAGTCTCCTTGTAKCCAACCTCAATGGTTTGTAACTGCGCTGTCTTCTTGTCRTTCATTGACCTGCTTTCTTGTAAAAGATGCTCGAGTTCCACCATGTTTGCCGAGCTTTTCTTCATGTCCTGATGCATTTCCTTCAAAGTGGCGTTCAGTTCTAGAGCTTCGCTGTTCTTTTGATCAAAGCTTGCTTTCATGTCTTTRAGTTTTTGYTGATAGTCGTAGCTTTCGTTCTGTGAAGTGTTGCGCTCACGGTGGATTTCTTCGTCCATTAGTGACACTTGTTGTTGTAAGTGAACACGCGACTCTTGCARCTCGCGGCAGCGTTCTCTTTCTTTCTGAAGTCCTGCTTCTTTCTCGGACAAAACTTGTTCCAGCTTGGATATGTATGCTGTTTTGTGTTCTAAATCAGAGCTGAGCTGCTTCATTGTGCTTTGAAGCTTTGATATCTGAACGAAGAAGAAAAACAGTGCTTGGTATACATTTTATAACATTATTAGCGGGATTTACGTTTTTAATTCTCGCAGRCGCAGGGCATTCGATATTCGGCGCTTCGTGGCACGTCACGTTACGCGTCGAAATATTSCATGTACCTGTTCTAGCCATCAGTGATTTTACCYAAACGTAGAATTAGTTTAAAAAATCACACTTATTCTCCAAATCGCTAGATACGACTGACAAATTTGCTCGATATCATAGGAAACATGTATATCCATGAAATTCAATTTTAGCTATTKGTCCGTGTATAAGATTAAGTGCTAAATGGCAAGCGTTTTTGGTGAACAGGGTGTAATTTAATGGATTACAGTACGTATATTATCATCAGACTCTCAGTARTTCTCARTCGTTACTTCGCCCTTCCAATAATGCACCGCACGCCGCAAAAAAGAGCGGGAAGCGAGTGCGCGCGAGTAGCATCACCATACCTCGACATGCGCATTTTGTATCTCATCATCGTGATCTTTCCTCATTTCYTCCAGCTGCTGCATATAAACYTTGATCTCGTCTTGACACTCAGCCAGCGACGATTGCAAGTGTTTCATCTGACTTGTAGCGTCCTGTGCTTGGCTTTCGATTTCWGCRAACTTCTTGTTCTGAGTCTTGTTGTTATTCTCGCTGATGTTGAGTTTTTCAACGTTTTCTTTCAAGYTTTGYTCAGCTTTTTCCAARYTGGACGTCTTGTGCTTCAGTTCTTGTCGCGTACCTGGCATAAAAGAAAGACARTAATTTGCATTTATCTTTTAAACCATTATTATAATGAATTTAAGGCGTTTTAAATTTTCTTTTTATTTAGAAAAGGCACAAATACTTCTATTTGCGCTTAGAAGAAGCAAAAACTGGTTAAGAGGACTGTTTTAGCGGACATAAAAAAGTACGAAGATTACAACTACCATCATCCTTTTGCTACACAAAATGGCGTCAATCATTCATTGCAAATGTCCTGGTCTTCAGCTGTTGGACAGCATGGGACCGATCGGAACCAATTTTACGACTGCGTGGTCGACAAAACAATAGACAAACAAYAGATYGTCTTTAAMAMAAATAAACAAAATTAACCTAAAAACAGAAGAGCA